ACTAATTATCGGGGGTCAGGTCCCCTTTGGTTGAATAATGTTTTATGCTTTTTTTTGGAATTACTGCAAGGGGAAAAGAAGGCCACAGGGCACTATGTAAAGCAACTTTATACTATAGCAATTTATTTTTTGTGGGGTTTGCGGAGATTAGAATTAAGCTGCTCAGCCGAAAGAATATCAACACATTGTGGGTCAAACTTGGGACTTTGTTTTCCATCATTCGATTGGAAAATCTGGTAGGATTTGGTCATATGGAGACAAGATCTCGTCTCCTTACGCACCATTGCTCTGCACGAGCAACTGATTGATGGGGATACCACTATGCCTGGTAACAACACTTAGAGAATTGGCACTTTATATTCTACTACAGACAGCCAAGTTCGTGTGGCTGCTTGGGAGTGCATTTTGAAGCACAATATGCTTGATATGCCTCTTCTTATCGGAAGGGACTTTAATTGTATTGTTTCCCCAAATGATAAAAAAAAGTGGCGAGCCATTTCGGTTCAACATGGGAGTCAAGGAAATTTTGGATCATAGGAAGCTCGGACTTGCATGATTTGGATTTCAATGGCCCAAGGAACACTTGCTGCAACAACAAGGATAAGATAAGCCGCATTTGAGTCGGGCATGATAGAATCTTGGTGAATTCTAAAGCTGGAATCAGCTTATTCCAATGGCAATGACGAAGCATCTACTTCGAGAGGCTTCAGACCACTGTCCAATTTGCTTATGCATCACTGCTCCGCAGTTTAATTCAGCTAGGCCAATCTGCTTCGAAGATACTTGGCTTTCGTACCGCACAGCATGGCACATTGTCCGACGTGATTGGGGCAAGGAGGACTTGGGAAGAAGCTTGGAGGTCTTAAGACTTCCCTGGAAGCGGAGATTATAGTAATCCCCCCTCCAAAGAGAAGTTTGGTCTCATGCCTATCAGGCTCAATAAGGAGCAAGCATATGATAAAATGAGTTGGAAAACCCAAGAGGAAGTACTCCAAAGATGGGGACAATCCAAAATCCTTCTAGTAATGGGTGTTAGGCTGCGTGGAGCAACCAAAATTTACACTCTTAATTAACGTTAAAATGTCCCCCAGAATCATTGTCGAATACGGATTTCTCCAAGGATGTTTGTTGTTGTCATACCTTTCATAATTTGGCCTGAACTGCTCTCCCTCATTTTGGCCCAACGGGCACAACATATTGGAGTGCGTTTAACCAACAACTCCCCTCGTATTTTGCATCTGCTTTATGCTGATGACATTATTTTCTTTTCTAGGGCTTCAACTAGGGCGGCTAAAGTTATATCTGATATTTTTGCTAACCATTGTGGTCGGACATGACAAAAGATCAATGCTTTTAAATCTGTCATTCTTTTTAGTAAAGCCACAATCTCATGGCAAAGGAGGGTCACTAATAACTTTCAATTCAGGAAAGCCAACGAGATTGAATACCTTAGAGTTTGCCTCACATTACGGAAATTAAACAAAAGGGATTTTGCCAATAAGTTACAAAAAAGCCAATACAAAGATAAATTTATGGGGCAATAGGCACCTATCGATTACGGGTCGGGGAACGCTTAACAATTTTTCCCTTCTCCCCATGATTATGAGCAGCATCTCTACATACTTTGGTTCCCACAGATGTCCTACAGGTTTTTCAACATAGCTGCAGGAATTTTATGTGGAGAAAGGACCCAAATCATAAAGCCTTGTACTCTGTGGGTTGGGGTATGATGTGTCAACCTCCTAGATTGGGGGGCTTTGGCTTCCATGTCGTCACTCTTACATCAATGCCTCGTGAGATAAATATAGGCCGAATAGTTGGCAAAATATGCATAACCGCACCACATCCAATGCTTGGAAAGTGATCTGTGATGGGGCAGTGGCCCTCAAGACTATTACACGATGGAAAATTAAAGATGGGGAAAGCATTAAGGTACTTGGATCCAAAATAGAGAACTTGTTTTATGGTCTAGCTTTATTGATCTCAACCGTCTTGAGAATCTTCATCTCTCGTCATGTATCTTTGATGGTTTTTGGCGGCAGGATTTGATACGTGAAAGCTTTGGGGCAAAACTGGCCACCTAAATTCTGCAAATCCAAATTTTTAGGGATCTTCAAGAAGATTATTTGGAGCTTTGTCATGCGCACTCGGGGAGGACTATGATTGCTTTCGCCTATGAAGCACAGTTCCCGACTAGAAGGGAGGACTTCAGTTGGCTTCAAAAGCTACACTTACAACTTCTTCAAAAAAATTTTGGTAGCAGGTAGCACATAACGTCATCCCTACAAAAGCTTGGCACTTAAAATGTGGTCTAATGGAGACGATCCTTTGATCTTGGGGTTTTCAAGAAATTGAAAACAAATCACATGTTGTGTCCAACTGCTTGGTTCTTAAATCGTTGACACAAAGACTTGCCAATTGGGTTTCATCTACCAAGCTTTACTAACTATTAGGATGCTCTTCATGATCTCTATCAAGTTCGCAGCGATACCATCTCTCCTGCTCGTATGTTTTGTTATGTCGTCTACCATTGTTGGAGAGCTAGAAACACAAAAGTTCATGGTCAAACGTCCGGCCCTCAAGTTACTATTGTTGTCTCTATTCTCGAAGCCCGCACTAACATGCATTTTTCCCATTATGGGAGTAGTGGAATGTGAGCCAACCAAATTGGTTGTTATCCCCTTCCTTCTGACATCCCCCCTCCTAGAAGAATGAAGATTAATGTCGATGAAGCTCTTTCCACCACCAATATTGCTGGATCTGGTGCTATTATTCGTGACAAGAAAGGGAATACCATTGTTGCTATGGCCCAAAACTTTGAGCAATAGGACATCGCTAGGGTTGAGTTACATGATATTCTTGTTGTCCAACAAATCATTAAGCCGTGGATGTACGAATGCAAGTTGAAGGTGACAATATGAACATCATGCATCTTTTGTGCAATTTAGAGACCAGAAAGTTTTGGGAGTGTCATCCGAGCCTTAGCCAGGAAGTGGCCTTTTTGGCTTCTTTCAAGGAAGTTTTGTTCCTTCACACCAGCAAAGAGTGCAACCGGGCAGCTCACTATTGTGCTTCTATAGCTTTAGAAAGAGGTTTTATTTTGAAAGATGTAAATGAATAAAATTATTTCACATACACACTTAGTGATTATAGGTCTCATTTTATACATGCATAGCTTTAATCTTGCATTCTTTTGTAACATTTTTGTTGTTTAATGCCATATGCATATTTCAGGAAGGAAGTGGGCTGCACTGGGCCTACAGGTAGGGAAGAAAACAGGGGTGCAGAGATGGGTTGCAGTTGGGAGAGGCGCTAGTGGAAGTAGTGTGGCTTGCAGCCGGCACGGTATGAGAAAGAAGGTGGTCAGCGGTTGGATGGGTGTCTGGAGATTGAGGGAGGGGTGATCGGTTGTCGGATTATCCGAGGGAAGGAAAGGGATTGGCGGCTGGACGGGCAGAAGATGTGGGTGTAGGAGGTGGATGGCAGCACTAATAGGGATGTTGGAGGGCGGCAGCAGCTAGGTAGGGATGCAAGGAAGATGACAGCAAGGGGAATATAGGAAGATATACACCACCTCTGACAAGTTATAGTTGGAGGACCCTCTCGCCGTCGGACACAACCCTAGAAGGGAAAAGGAGGACGCCAGAGGTTATCCAACAAAATTCCAACCAAAAACTAACCCTAGAAAAGAAAATAACAAATATATATAACATATAGCTTGGTGGAAGAGGCCCCTTCTGTTGATCTGCAACCCTAGCCACCAAAATAGAGTCGACCAACTCAAGTTACCTCTTGGTTGAACAGGTCTAAGTGACCCAGCTAGTTCAATCCTTAGTTTGCCTCGTGTCGTAACTCTGCAATATAAAAAGACCACACCTCTGTTAACGAAGGAGAGGCATGAGAGGATGAGAAAAGGAAAACTTGAAAGAGAAATGGCCAATCAAGGAGGGATTGAAAACTGCCAGCACTCCTACTATTCTTATGTTACCTCCATTAGACACTTCTCATTATAAATACCCTTGCAAATATTGTGTCCAAGAATGTATGGTAACAATTGAACCTTTTTCAATGAATAAACTTACTTGCAAGATACGCATTTATCCACTTGTAACTTATAAGCCATATCCTTCTAGGGGGTTAAAACAAAATAAATGTTGAATAGAGAAATGAGAGAGGTCATAGATGTTAGAGGTGCGACCCAGTGCTTGAAGTTAGGCACATTGATACTCCAGCTACTTGAGTGACAAGCTAAATGATTGCATCCAAAGCCAAGACTAATGTTTTAAGGATTTCATTGTGATTTTTTAGTCAATCAACATCATCATTAGCCTTAATCCAATAAGTTGGGGTTGGCTTTACGAATCCTCATATTCTAATAATTCCTACTGGGTGAGACAATAGTTGTTAAACCTACTCTATGCAAATCCTTTTGCACAGCTATCTATGTTACCACTGGTTTGTTACCCTCTATAATCCTCCAATATTAATGTTATCTTTCCATTGTGTGGGTTCATTTTCTACAATATGTTGTACAAATGTTATTCTAACTATCATAAAATAATCATCTATGAATCTATCTTTTATATCATTATAACACATTCATCTTACCATTTTTCTAAAGGACCTTACTCTAAGTATACTTAATAAGCATTCTTTTAACAATTAAAAAACAAAAATAATAATCATGTCCAATAATCGAAATGATTTTTTCATATATGGCATACCAACTCCAATCGAGGTTTACTAACTATACCCTTAAAGTGGTCCTTCCAAGATGTGTATTGCCTTTTTCTGTAGGCAATAGTAATAGTGCGCATTCAACTATATGAATATCCAAGGTACTACAAATATTGGTCCAAATGTAAGGCAAATAGAGCAACCAACAATCATCAAAAGATGCTATGTAATAAGTATCCCAATTCAATAGGATGAAAAGAGAAAATCCCAATTCAATAGGATGAAAAGAGAAAAAACAAAATAAAAGAAAGCATCTTAGATACCTGCCTTTGTCGACGAACCATAGTTGATAAGTCGGTGTACGGAAGCTTAGGATCAATTTTGCACTCCATAAGAATGCCTCCATCATAGTCCTTGATGTACCTTTAAAAGAAAATATCATAGCTTCAACATTAAGCAAAACATAAAAGCAGTAAATTTGAATTAGCCTAAGAAGTTCAAGATAAAAAATGTAAAATATCAATTTCACGAGCCAAGGAAAATTGAAACAAATTTCCTCAGTCATTCATGGTGGGGCTGTCTAGCAAACTGGAGGCTCATTATTAGGTTGTTTTAGAGCATTATAGCATGAAATCCCTGAAAAAAAGATAATAAAAAGACTTTGTAATGTTTTTCAATTTTGTGCAGTAATCCATGGAGTTCTGTAGAAATTTTTTGGCCAATGCAATTAGAGGGAGTTTATAACCATGCAAAAACAATGTGTTATACTTGTGACTTGTATACGATCCATTTTTCGAGACTATAGCTCCTATCAAGTCCACTAATTTAACCGAGCTTATCATGACAATATTTGCAACTTATCAAAAGTTTATTTCAAGCGTCATGCATGACTTATTTGTGAGATAATTGGAAACAAAGCCTCCACTAGAAGTAAATTTGAAAAAAAAAAATTTAGAATGATATAAATTTTTAAAACTAAACCTCAACTAGTGCAAGAAATTATCCTTAAGTGTGAAACTTTAAAAATCAATTTTATTGTAGTTGACTAGGTAATTAAAGATTTCAATAATTTAGACCCCAAAAATATATCCAATAAAGTTATCTCTATGAATAAAAATGATATTGATGTTGCTTTTCATTATTTCCATATAACGCCATTCCATCAGAATTGATCTCAAGATGATCATGCATATGATCCTTTGATCATATATGCGATTAGGTATGCTCAAGTTATATGATTTATTGAATTGTAATATAATGTGTTTGACATAATTTGATATGATTGAACTTCCAAAAATCCTTTAATGTTCAAATTGAAACAATTTTTCTTGGTGTAGCCCTTGCTCGGTATAATAGTCTATGCACATTTCTTCATAATTTTATAAGCAATGCATTGCATCGAGCATTAATTCTTATGTTATTTAAATTATGACCTAAGGCTTTGAGTTACTTACAAGTATGTCACTGCGTTATTAGTATTTTAAATTTTCTATTTTCTTTATTTTCCCCTATTTGGATGCCATTCAAAGATAGGAGGGAATGAGAAAAGGGAAGGTCTAAAAAGAGAGTTTGTTCCATCTGATCTAGGAGTACGGGAGTTGAAAAATTGTTGTGCTTCTTTAATTCTCAATATTTTCTTGTTTTTTTTAGGACGAGAAATTGAAGCCGGAGCTTTTCAACTGACAATATGGTGATACATGGTTCCGTCAATGTTTCAAAGACCTCATGTGTAGTGGAAGTTGATGTTAATCCCTACACAGTTTCACCATGAAATTTGAAGAGCATATTATTATTTTGTGGGTTGTTCATCAAAATATGTGATCTCTCTTCGAGTACATACAAGTACCTAACATGCCCTACGTTTATCATGTTGCAATTATGAGGATTTTGATATGTTTCTTCTCAGATTTCTTTTGATGGTGCCCGAGTCACAATTCTAGATCCCTTCTTCGACCTTTTTCGCTTCCCAAAAATCACAGCCGGAAAAAGTCAGAAAATCAAAACAAAAACGATCTGAAAACCAGCAAATTCAAACTAAGGAGAAAGAAATGCTCCCCTCCAGCAAATTAACACCCCAACAAAAATATCTTAGTCCCAAAGGAATAAAACTTGAGAGTGTGAATCCTTGAAGAACAAAATGAACTCCTAAGCGGCGGAATCAATATAGGGCGGAGTTCTAGCGACTAGGTCCCTACAACGAAAGAGATCGATCGCCTAGTTCCTGCAAGGCTGAGTTCCGGCAGTTAGGGCTTGCAGAAAAAAACTTGTAGGTTGTGGGGAATAAGTTTCTAAAGGCAGGAGATCTTCTTCTCCTTCGTCGGGGACTCTAGGATTTCTTTCAAAGCTCTAATACCATATAGATTTTCAAAATTCAGCAAAATTATATTATTGATATGAAAAGGGAGTATAAATACTCTTACATGAATCCTAGAATATGAAACATAAGAAAAAAGAAAAAATATAAAAGGAAAGATATAACACATATATCCAATTAATCAATTCATAATAATTATTTGAAGATTAAGGAAATGACATAAAATAGGAAAGCCTAAAAAGGGAAAGAAAATAAATCCAATCCAAGGAAATAAATCAAAAATATGAAAGAAAGTAAATTCAATCCAAGGAAATAAATCTAATCCTCATAACTTCTACAGCAACAACAACAAAAAAAAACTTAATCCCACTACGTGGGGTTGGCTACATGAATCTTTTTTCTCAATTGCATCATATTTAGTGTCATATTTCCATTTAGTTCTAAAAAATTAAGATCATTATTTATACAATAAGCCCAAGTCTTTCTAGGTCTACCTCTGTCTTTCGTAACAGAAGTAGAATCTAAAACATCTACTCTCCGAATCGGATCATCAAATGGTTGATGCTTAATGTGACCAAACCATCTAAGACTACTTTCTCTAATTTTGACCGTCACAGGAGCTACACCAATCATCATAACTTCTACCATGAATAAATTATTTCCTAATATAATTTATAACACTTATTATTCTTTGTTTCCACATACTCTTAGTTGCACATGACATTGTTTGATTCGTTGTGATTAGAAACATTGCATACTCTACAAGTATGCATGTATGGTTTTCTATGATATGATGTTTGTACCAACCTTATTGTATGGCACATGGTGTTAGCATACTTATTGGCTATCAGATATGCAATTGAACTAAAAAAATTTTCTTTCAATTTGCAATTTGCATTAAAAAACTAAAAAGTTACAAAAGACTATGCAAGTACGCACCTATGATATACAAAAGTGAGAACTATCATCTACAAGTATAGTACACCTATCATCATCTATATGCATCAAAACAAAAGACCCTTCAAGGGCACAATTAGCAAAAAAATAAGCTGCCCTATTACATTCACGTGAACTATAGAAAAATAAAACTTGTTTAAAATTCAAGAGAAAAGCAAGGCCTGCATCCTCATGAAGTTGCCAAGTATTCCTTTTTAAAGTGAATCTTAAAACTTTCATGATATTGATCATCTATATTTCTTAATTATGATTTCCAAAGCATGTCATTGGTATTTATTCATCTTACTCTTCCTGAATATAATTTTTTTGGCTTAACCCTTTTAAGCTATAGCATATGCTTGACAAAATAATGTAGACATGATATGATTATGAGATTGCGCAGTTGAGTGTAACATTTATTGGTGTTCATGATTCTACTAATGAAGATTCTTGATTCTTTAAGCTTTGTAGCCCATGATTTTCTATGGCTAATGTGCATTGCATTATATGATAAGTATGCTTATACCTATAATTAAAAATGATTTTTAATACATGTTTGTCTCCCATCATTTTTTTTCTATTACCATGTGAGTATCAATCGTTGCAAGCTCTGCAGGCTCAAAGTTGTGAATAAAACTAATTTGCATGATTAAGATGAATCTAACCGTCTAAGAAACAAAAAATTCCACAATTGGACTTATGCACATTACACAATGGATAAGTTTATAGGCTTACATACTAGCATTCTAAAATTAGGCAAGTACCAAACATGCAATAGGGGCACATGCACTAGCCAATGGGCATTTATCTTAGGTACCATTCTACAGGACAAGCGCATCAACGAACAAAAAGATGATGATTTCAGTCGTTATTTCTTGACTTTTTATTAATGCAACATAGTAGTTATTCCAGGTGGTGCCTATTAATCCTAATAAAATAATATTATTTATCAATTTGTGGTATGAATTTTGAATTATGCATCCTCGTAATCAAACTTGTATAGGATAACTATGATTTTTTTATTACGTGTCGATTCAAGTAGATATGAATTCATCATAAAAAGAATTATATTAGTATATAGATGATTCATTATATGAGAATATGGTCATAAAAAGTATGCATGATCTTACCAATAGTCATGAACTACTTTGAACTGATCCACTATTTTGGCAGTCTATTGGAACAATTTTATCTAACAATAAATGCTATTGATTAGCCTAACACTGATTTTACACATAAATATGCCACTTATTATAATTACAAACTAACTGTATCAATAACCCTACATTTAATGTACGAAAATACTTTAAGGTAGGTATCCATTGGTCTGAATTGGTTTGATTCTATAGTTTGAGATATTTGACTTAGAGCCTGTTTGGCACAGCTTATACGTTGCATCGGCGTTTTCAAAACGCCGTCATGCCGTTTGTTTTCTCCATCTTCTGTGTGTTTCACGATACGTTGGTTTTGTATTGTAATAAATTTTGGCCGTTAATTTGACCCCGTGGCCTGCGTTTGGAAGAATTTTCTTACCTCTCTGCCCTCCCGTCGCGCTTGTCCTCATCCTGTGCCCTAGTTACCTCTTTGGTCCTCTCCTCTGCCCTCATCCTGTGGCTTCAATCGCTAAACAAGGGCTCCTTCTCACGCGTCTCTCTCACGTGTTTATCTCGATTGTTGCATTTTTCCTCCTCTCTGCGATCTTTAGTTGCGGTGCTCTGTAAGTAATATTGTTGCCTTTCTTGTGGTGATTTTCGATGGAATGATTTTTCTGTGCATTTAATTAGCTTTCTCCTTAGTTGTGAGAAGTTTGCAGTGTTCAGTGAGTGATATCATGCTCTTTCTTGTGGTGAATTTCGAAGAAATGGTTTTTTTTTGTGATTTTTTGGCTTTCTTCATTTTTGTGTTTTCTCTCTCAACTGCCGCCTTTGATTGGGTGTTGGATGTTGGACTTGGGTGTTGGACTTAAATGTGTGTGTTGGTGGTTGGTGGTTGTTTCATGCTTGAGAGTGTTTTTTTTTTTATTGTTTCTTTGATAAATGAAATGTTTGATGAAGAAACTGGGAGAACAGTTGGTTTTAAATATTCTTCATACTTTAATTTTGTTGCTTAATGGAAGCAATAATTCAAAGGTTGAATTTAAAATATTTAATGGCAAATGCACTTATAAAAGCAT